ATATACTGACTTGAATATCAGATGTCGTAAAGATTTGTTTGCCAGTGCTTAGTTTGCCCCTAACTTTCCTCTAGCTTATTGTATAAGTTATTGCATAGTATACCTAATAACATTGTTACAAAACGAATTATATTTTTATATTGTCGGCAAACATCTTACTTACAGTTCTTTTGGCCAAAAAGCAATTATATATAAATAATATTTATTTCTTATAGAAAAAGGCTATCGACCCAGTCGGTCTTTCTGCCGACCAATTAATTTTCTTCGGAAATTAAAACATTGAAATACACACTAATTTCTTGTTAAAACATTTCCTATACAGTAAAATTATAAAATCGCATAGCCAAATACTGATGTAAATTGATTCTTTTCACAGGGAGAACAGAAAATTAATTAAAATTACAAAGTCAATACAAACGTCTAAATGAGATATTAAAGAGAATTGTGTTACACAGTTTGGAAACAACATTATTACAAATTTAAGAGGATAATTTATAGCTTATATATCTGACTTTTAAATATTAATTGTTTAAGTGTATCAAAGAGTGGCACATACTGTTTATATACAAACTGTCTGTGTACTGTAAACTGTGTACAAAATGGTAAATTGACTTAAAACAATTCGTCATTGACATATTTTTGTCTTTCTAAAGAAGAAAATAGGTGCGTTTGTGAACATACTCTACTAACTAGAACAACATTTAATTTGATAAAATCCTCAATGTTTTCAACAACTTTTAAATCGACGGAGAAATAAATTTAAAGGGACGGGGTCATCGAAGCCCTATCAGTACGACCTTTTATTACCCGTTGATCCAACTATGAAACCGTCTTAAATTTTACTCCAAATATTTACTGAAATGTCGTGCTGAGAATGTATTTCTCTAATTGAATACGGGTTGGCTTTGTCCCAAATGTAATCTCATTATTAGAAATTCTTGTCTTTCAAAAGTCCAAAAGTAACTTTATCGCCAAGTCTTATCGGTATCGAGCAATATTTTTTATAAGGCAGGTTTGAGTAAATTCTATTATTTCGACATCTATGACTATGGCTTATTCATTAGCCACCACCCTGTATATTGTGTTATTTTGTCCATTAAGTGCATATATTGCTTTTAAAGCTTAGTTGAAAGCTATTTCCATCTGAACGCAGTAAATTTACAAAATATTACTTTACACTTTCTGAATACCTATAATTCGTCCTGAAGAAAATACTTTCACTAGATCCAAGTTAATATGCCTATATGAAATGGTGACAGAAAGTAATGAATTTATTGAATAGGAACATGATACATGTACGTGGCCGCTACACAGATATTATCAGAAGTGATTGATGATAAATTTAAACGAGTCTATCATCTTGGGTTATAGTTTGTTTCGAATCAAGAAAAATATATTCTTCAGACAAATCTGCAAATTATTTCATACTTTATTAGTGTTGCGATGGTGGACATTTAAAAAAATTACTTGATTATTAGTAGAATTATTATAGTTATCTTTATTTACTAATTAAGAATTATTCTTATAATTTTTCTCTACTTTCATAACAAGACAAATGAGTAAACAGTACGCCGGGTTGTTGAAGTTGAAGTACAAGATACAACAGTCATCTTATAAGTCACGCCTATGAAAACCGTGCATCTAAAGTAATATTCTTGACCAGAGATCATTATTCGAAACGTGAAAGTCAATTTTCAGTAATAATAATTTCCTTGTGGAAAATTGGCGCAATTTTATGGATGTAATGAAAAAAAAACGATGCTGTCTAAGCAAACACAGCGTGCGTATATGGCAAATCATTAATTTATTAATAAAGTAATCATGAAGAACATTATAATCAAGCAATTTTAATATTGAACTATCAATCAATCAAGATTTATTATATTCGAACTTGACTTAGAAATCAGTTCCGCCTTTGAGTATGTTGATTCTGAAATGTAAAAAGGCTGATTCAGATCATTAATATTACATGAAACTGTAACGCTATAATTAGCAGGGTAACTCAGATTTAAAGGTTTATGGTAAATATTTATAGAAAAATAGTGGATTTGCAATGTACTGCTTTAAATTGTTATTCGTTACAATTTGATTTTATTGAAGTGTTTGTGAAAATTGCTTCGAATATTGATTAAAACACGGAATATTTGTGGAGATGAGTCTAAATCATGTTCATTCTATTGAGTTTTTAATCATATGCATTTTTAATCCAAGAATCCAGAAGTGCAATAATACCATCAGCGAAGTTTAACCTGCTCAAAAAAAAAGTTACACTAACAAATTTAGACTAGTTTTGGAACGTTTAAGCGTTATTAGTGCAATTATTTGTTATTTTTCCATGTGTAATAAATTGGCGGTTCAGATAAAGTTTCTACATGGTGGCAAGTGACCATGCAAAATTGGTGAAAGTTTCACGTGTTCTCAGTCGCACAAAAAATAGTTTTTTTTGTACCGCAACACGACAGGCAATAAGGTAAACCTCATATTTCGAAGAAAGGTCTGTCTCGTTAATTTAACTTTATTTATTTTAACTTTTTAACAACAAATCAACTTTTTGTTATTTTTGTCTTTTTGTCAACTTTTTTTGAACGGGTTTTTCAAAATTAGGGCTTTGAAGCTAAAACCTCACAGTCGAATTGAGAGAAAAATTGAATATGCGGGTTGCATAACTGAACGAAATATATTCTGATTTGGGTAATTGTTTTATCCAACCCTGCATATGGAATTTTCGTCTTAAACTGTCTAAAAACTGTGTAAAATGCAGTTTAAGCTTGACAACGAGCCCCAGATCGGCTAGTCCATCCAAGTCCTCCAAGTCGGACCAAGAACAGAAAAGTTATCGCTGCAAGACCAAACATTTTTTTGACACCACCCTGTAAATGGACGTGGCGACCCAAAAATGCAAAGCCCGTTTCAAGCTATTTGGTGCCTCTTTAGACTTTTGGGGTTAAGATCCAAAAAGCTTTTTTTGTTCAACTAGGAGCATGCCAACTTTTGCATTTTTTCGTTTACTGCCCTGCAAAATATTCCTCTAAGGTGCTTAATTTTGACCAAAATACTGATCAAATTGGGCTAGATAAACAATCAATATTTATCCAGTTTCAAAGTTAGGGAAAATTGGGCTGTGTAACGTTGATTTTGTTGAGCAGTTTTCGGTAAACCATAGACTAAAGAGGTTTTTCGAAACCACATTTCATAATTGCTTTGCATTCTTGCAAGGCAATAAGTGCGAACAGCTAATGTGCTTTTTTGGCGCGCAAATACAGCAATCCAAAGCCCACACGTTGAAATTTCTCAGAGAACTACATTAATCCTTCATTTTGAAATCAACAATTCGTTTGAGTTGCTCCAATACCGCCTTAAGAACAAGACCTCAGTGCTGAAATCTGAAGAACTGATGACGTCAGAGGAAGTAGGCCAGTTTTTCGGCAGTAAAGAATGCCTTGAGCTGTTGACCAAATCAGGTTATGATTACTGAAGAGCAATGGTTTCGTTATTACTGATCTGGTCTTCTGCACAGAGGTTAAACCGCATGGAAGGTACTTTCGAGGGGTTGGCGGTTACTACTTCCTTGCCCTGCCTCTGCTCAAAAGTTGGTAGAAAAAAATGATTAGAATTATAATGAAATGCGAAACTTTATAATTGAGTGTGGAAATATAACAGGGTCTTTTATTAAAAGACGCATATAACATGGCCTATACGGTAAACAGTAATTAGTGATTAATCAAGTATGTCTTCGAACAATGCAATCGATAAAAGCTTATGGCAACGTTGGTAGCTTCAAAGATACGACCGAAGGTGTTTGTAAACTTTCGGCTCTGAAGTAGTTTACCTTTTTTCGTATTTTTCTGGTGAATTTCTCTATCCGCGTGAAGAAATAGTAAACATGTTTCAAGATCAACACACATCACATAATCAACACATATCAACAAGTTATATAATCTTTACAAAGGTTATTCAGGAATTAGTAGATACATTTTTGGAAGCTTTTAATAAAAGATGTTTCGTTTGCAACCTACTTCTACATCATCTTACTGATCACCGACATCTTACTCATTTTTAGGGATGTAGTAGTCATACAAATAAAAATACTGCGAATATTATTCTTATCAATGTTTTCGATACACTCGTGAACAATTATTGTACAACTTGTAATCATTGATGCAAGAATGTTTTTAATTTAAGTACCTAGTTACGATCAAAATAAAAAACTTTCTCGGCAGCAAACCGATTTGTAACCTGGATTTCACATATTTAAAAAAATTTTAATTTTTAAAATTATTTTTCTGTGGAAAATTCACATTTTCTTCAGCTAGTGAACTTGTAATCGGAAACTGTCGTAAAATACGACAAAATCAACCATTTAGTAAAATGATCAGGGAATTTACGCCATACTAAGGCCCTCTTAATGGGAAGTGAACTGGCCTACATGGGATGACGTCACGCTTAAGCGCTTTACCAGTTTGGCGCGCTGCGTATAAAAAGGATAATTAAAAGTGCAGAAATTATTAAATTGGACTACAGAATGTTAGTGTGAAAGCAATATATGGTTTACGAGGAACTTGTTACACAGTATCAAGAAATGTTAGGAATTTCAATAGGTAAAACCCAACCAACTACTTAGTTTTCAGATTTTATCATAATAAAACAACCAGAGACTAATTGCGCTTGGCTGATGCATGTGAAGTCTAAAGTACAATACTTTGCGATGCTAAGTGGAAGGTAAAGCAAACGCCATCAAACGAATTGGAAAATAAGATCCTTATGAATAAATTCATATAACTGGAAATTGGCGCTAAAAAGTTTATATAATCTGATTGATACCACGAGATATCACGACTTGAAACATTGTGGAAACATGTTTAACAGCCAATGAAAGGTTGACGAGGTAATTTCATATTGCCTCAAACAAATCGACGGTCTCATCAATAATGCACAATATAAATATAAGGAATATTTCTGTAGAAATCGCCATATTCATCGTTTTCTCATTTGTATTTCAGTACCACAAAAAAAGGAGAATAGTAGCAAGAGTTCAGTGTTCCAGCATTAAGGACCAATGTCCAGTTCCATCATGTGACGAACCCATCGTTTTGCCGGGCAGGTGTTGCAAAACATGCCCAGGAGATATAAGTAAGTGAACATGTAATTAAACAAATATATTCAAACCCTATTCCCAATTGCATGTCTAGGAATTTATATACCAGCTATTACGCAACATGATAGAAATCTAAGCGCCATTGTAACGTGCAAAACTGCAATTATCTAATGACTAGTTACTATATGATCTGGGTCTTATTGACATCCTGTGCTTTTTATATTTTTTCAGTTATTGACAGAACGCTCGAATTAAATCTCCAATCCTTTAACGTTTTATTTAGAATTTTTCGTATAATAACCTTGCCTACAAAGCCCAATTATGACGCAAGAAAATGGGAATTTCTTACTGAGTTCAACCAGAAGAATGACATGCTAGAAATAGTTCTCAAGTTTTTCGAGCAGTCCCCGTGACCAAGCTAATAAATCAAGGGACTTTTACGGATTGAAAATGCAATTTATGTATCTCGTGAAAGGAATTCCTCATGTAAAAGTTTATGTGCGCTTTTAATGCCTTTGCTTAATGGATTCTTTATAGACATGGTGTTGACAATGTCTGAGCGTGGTAACTGGAAGCACATTTAATGGAAAGTATTGGTTTTGTCATGTAGGTGGCAAGGAAGCGACATGAAGTTTATGATTTATTGCATTTCAGTTTGAATACAATTTTGACACTTTTTTTTAAAGAGCTTTGCTATCACTCGCTCGTTTGGTCCCTCTAGATTATTGATGATGGGCTTTGTCATCTCATCCAAGCAAACGGTTAAATGTTTTCAAAATACTTGATCAGAATGTTTTTATTTTTATCAAAAGTTAATGTGGGCTATAAATACATCATTTCTAAAGTTGATTTGAATAGAACATTGATGATTATCAAATTCTATACGTGTAGGTCATGATATGTTGGCATTACTCGGAACAGTCTTTTTCCTAATTCATCTATTATAAGTTTAATCACCTTACGAATGTTGATAAGGATTTTAATAAATTTTCAGCGCCATACGTAATCCATTATAAGTCTCGTCTAATTCCTCGTGAGTTGTTTATCTAGATTAAATATTAGCAATAGCACTTTATTGGCCGAGAAAGTAGAAAGTATCCTAACTTTTCCTTTAATGTAAAAACCTGACATTTTATAACTTTTATTTCGTTCAGATACTTTCTAACTGTTTTTTTAGGAAAGTAGCAAATTTGTCAGAACGAAAAACGGGAAGACTAGATCAATTAGAACATTAATTTGAAAAATAATAATTTTTCAACATTAGGTCCCAAAAGGTTTCTGGTTTCCATGTGTTAGAGCCGTCCCAATCCTCTTCCAATTTCTACTGTTTCTGTTTCGTCTTTATATTTCTACTTGTACTTTATGTTTTGTAACCGCGAAGATACGGCATTGATTTGAGTGCGTATTTACCATTTAGTTTCGCTTGTTCTTCTTTATTGTTCATCTGCGTGCATTATGTTTCCGTTCATATCATTTTTAGATATTAATTGATTTTAACTTTTAACTGAATGCAGCTGTATCTATTATTTTAAATTAATAACGAAACATTGACAGCAAGTCGTTGCCAATAAAACGAGGACTATTTTTCTAGTTTTAGAGGGCAGCTCTGAGACATTTTCTAGCTCAAGCGACCGAGCGATATGACCTATCTTTTATTAGGAAAACATGTCTGGTACCTCCGCTATTGATATTCGAAGTTCTTGAAAAAAATAATTTTTTTGAAGTAACGGGAGAATGATGCGATTTTTTGATGAAATTAGCTGTGAATTTGATCTTATGTAAGACTCGTGTTTTGGCGAACTTACTCTTCTTCGTCTTAGGCAATTAAGTGAAGATCACAATTAATGTTCATTTATAATCAATTAATTGTCAAGCGTTTTCTAATTTTTAACTGACCGACACGGTCAAAGTCTTAGGCCGTCTTTTGCAAGCGTTTTCGTCCGAATAGGGTTCATTAGAAATATCACGAAAAGAAGAAACGAGTTGTTAGCAAAACATGGCCCTGATGTAGAAACATAGTAAGTTTTATAAAAATCCATCTGAGCGCTGTCCCACTATTACCAAAACTTAAACTTAAACTTGATTAAAGTTTTGTTAATGTAAAATTTTATGAATGTCTAAAATGGTCAGTTGGCGAGAGAACAGAAATATGTTGTGTGTTGAGCAAAATTTTGCAAAAAATTGCAAAATCTATGCGTGTTGGAAGTGTTGCAAGGAGGACCAAACCATCAAGAGCTGATTAGTGCATAGTACATCAACTAAAAAAACTGTTGATTTCCAGCTACCAAATAAAAAGTTCTGGTAGCTTTTGTTCCAAGACAGTCAGGAATTCCGCACGTGTGCAAAGCGCGGATTAACTCGGTTGCTTCATGAAAACATTAGAGTCAAACATAGGAACAAATTCACAGCGAGTTTCACTTAAATTCATCGATAGTTTTTTTGAAGAGATTTAACCATCAACAGCAGAAGATCCAGACATTATTGCTCAATAAAAGTTAGGTAAGGTAGTTTTCTATTTTATTCTATTGTAATCTATTCGATATTCAAAAAATATCGCCGTACCCTTTTGATTATATGCTTAAGGGACACTCTTTATAAATTGGGAATTTTCAATTTTTCAAAATTTATGTTGTCAAACTAAATAGTCTTACAGCCTCATAAAATTAAGAATAGACACCCTGTATAGTAAACTTTATCTACTTTATCTTTCTGCATCACTAAATTTCCTGGCATAGGAAACGTGTCATATAAATGACTTATCCGAAGAAAGTGGCGAGTTTCAAAATACATTGTACTTCGGTGTCAATAATTGAAAATTTAAAGCACTCAAAACTATTGTTTGGAGCCACACTTATAAAATTTTTCAATGGATTTTCATATTTATCTTGTCAGGGTATATCCTTGTATTGTTCGTGTGTGAAGTACGTTCGTTCCAGGACAATACCAATTATATTTTTTCAATTAATTTACTCTTGATACGTGTCAGTAGTATCGTAGGTCTTTGTATTTAATCCCACACAACCAGCAATGAATGTATGATAAATTCCTACCAGAAATGCAACTTAAAAGCATTCAGCAGCAATTAATTTAACTGTACCGTTAAGTAACGAAAAGCTCACATTCCTCCAGTTCAAATTAATCAAATTGATTGTTGAACCATAAATCGAATATTTGTTACGTATGTTTCGAGTATCGCGAAGCCATTTACTTGTGTGCAGAAATCATGATAACTTGCATTATTATTGGTTGTTAATAAATTAATGGAGAGAGCCAGTTGAAGAAATTTCCGAAGATCTGATACCCCGGGGATAAAAATTCAAATTACCTGCCATGGCAGAACGAAAAAACCAAAGGCGAAGACAACAGTTGACACCGTAGAAATATATGAGCCGTAAAGTGATATCGAAGATCGGAATCCGTTCAAAATGTCTCTCAAAACCCGGCTTTCTCGGAAACAAAAAGTAACTAATTTCACCGGTCGGAATTCTATACGTCTCCTGATTTTAGATAACTCCATCCCCAGGCAACAGAGCGTTATTCTATCGGGTTTAATCGTGTTTTTATCGGGTCAAATATCTGCCATTAAATTTTTCGGTGTCGCTGGTTCGTTTTCCATTCAGGTTTCTGTACCATTCTCACATCGTTTAATAATGGGTTGAAGCGGATGGGCACAGATTTTCATCAATACACTCCCATTTTTCGCACAACACTCGCTGCGATCGGTTTGCAACATGCCAACAATATTATCACAATCAGCTTTTGGTAAATCAGACAAATCATATTTAGTTTGATCTCATCTCACATCGAGCAGAAGGTACATCACAGTGCGGTATGATGAAAATACTCTTATAGGAGACAGTTAACAGAAGTTAATATTTCGTTCGCTATGGATAATCATCGATGAAGCCTACTTAAATGAAAGGTATAATTATTGCAACTCATTTTAACAATGGAAGGAAATGGTTTACCAGTGGCTGCACAGGGGGGCTTGGTTTTGCGTGTAACCAAAGACGCTTAGGAGTAGCCGAGAATTTATGCACACTGAAACTGGGAAGGTAAAATAAATAATGTATGCAAGGAAAGCGATAATTAAATCAGTCTGGTTACTTAGGCAATTAGAAAAATGTCGACTATTGACCAGAGAATAAATTGTTTTGCATGCTTTAGATTGCCAATAAGCGCAAAAAACTGTTACATGTTCACGTTTAAGGTTCACATACTAGGTAGTTATAAGAGTTATTGCCTATTAATAATATATTAAATGACTAATTCTTACCACGTATTTACCGGTAAGTTCGTAAATGAAGCATCGACCTTTTCGAATTTATTTATTACGTTACCTAAAATATTAAGTATCCGCCCAAACTATTTCCATCATCATCAAATAACTGAAATTTCACAGGCAATCTGGTACATGCACCACACAGAGGTATCGAGTTTCGTAGGTGGATTGTTACGAAAGATTTTTTATAGACAAAGGAAACAAGTGGCGCCATCTGGACAGTGGGTGGTTCGTTTTCTTTTTTTCGCCCACCTGGTGCATCGATTGATTTTCGATAATGTTAGTTAGTCATCCATTCTCAGTCGTATACTACTGACTTGCATTAAAGGTGGAAGACAATGAGGTGTCCAAAAAGTTTCAAATTTCGCAACTAGACTCGGCCGGGGAAAATAGATTATAATCTTATTATTGGATTTGATTCGCTCGCTCTGGTTTCAGAAGAGGGAGAATTGTTGGTTTAATCGGAATAATTTATAGATTAACTAAGTATTCAGGAATAATTCACAGTATTGCCTATATGGGATATATTTGCTCCTTTTATCTGCTGTGTGTTTAGTGTGTTTAGAACTTGGCGCTTTCTTGTTCATTTGCTAGTCAAGTTAATAGTTAGGAGGTATAATTTCTTGTTAGTTTTTCCATTTTTAATCTTAGTTTTAACCAATTCCCACGATTGCTACGAAAAGTGCAAATGATCACAGTTTACGAGAAATATTTGACAATTTCGGAGTTAAAACCGCAAGCAATAAATCGGCT